TTGTCTTTATATATATATATATATATATATATATATTTAATTCTTGTATAATTTTAGTTTACAAGTGCATGGATTCAATTGTATTATGCACTAGAGCTTTCCCTAGGACATCCCTTTCTTGTTTTATCATCGTATTCATTGAGTCAAATGTTTATTAATTCCATCTTAAAAGGAGAAATTATTGTTCTACACTGCTTAATTTATAATTAGTCTTTCTATATGACATATAATTAAGTGTAATTATTTTTTTCTAAAAATAAAAAACTTACATATATGTCATGTAATAGTTAGTTGAGACTATGAACACTTAATAATTCTAAGATACCTAATAATATTTTGTAAAAAGGATGTTTGCATTCATTAAAATCTAAAACGAATTGATGATTAATTCTAATAACACATCTCTTTAGCACACTCATTTTAATACATTATCTTTTATTGGTTATAATTTATTAAAAATCACACAATCAAGGACATGAGTCATTAAATAAAGTGTGAAACCCATTAATTTTTGTAATTTTTAATAAATTTTAACCAATTAATTTCCTTCTTAGAACTGAGTCTTAGTAATAGCTAAAAAGGAGAAATTATTGTCCTAGACCACTTAATCTCTAATTATTCTCTATATAATATGTAATCAAGTGTAATTATTCTTTTATCTTAGGATGAAAAATCTAAATATATGTATGTAATAATTAGTTGAAACCATGAACACTTAATGATCATGAGCCTTAAGGTATCTATCAATTTGTAGTAAAGAAAGATGTTTGGATTGATCAAAATCTAAAATGAATTATGGAATATTAGTAACACAACTTTAAAACTCTTCTTAATACATTTTTTTTATTGGTTATAATTTATTAAAAATCACAAAATCAGGAGAGAGAGAGAATCATTAAATAAAGTGTGAGACTTAATAACTTTTGTGTTTTTTATTAAATTTCAATCAATTAGAAAGATTGTATTTAAAAGCAAGGTCGATTCAAGGATAGAGCTAACAAAAATCTCACTTTAGATATCTTTAAAAAAATTATATTAATATGTATTTCATCTTTTCAAGTTTCCATCACTTAAAAGTCATTTTTTTGTATTTTTAAAAATTCACTTTAAAAAAGTTTATCTTTAAAAGATATATAAATATAATTATTTTTAAAAAAAATTTATCTTAAAATATTTTTACTTTTTAATTAAAAGATATTATTTAATTTTAAAAAAATATTGTTAGCATTTATCCTGAAGCTATATATGCTAGCTAGTACTTTCAAATTTTACCGAATATTGTAACTATTTTATTTTAAAAATAAAAATAAAGTAAACCCAATTCCATTTTTGGTATACTATATTAAGATGTTAGATGACTGATAAGAAAATATCTCTACATATTTATTACTTTAATTAAATTAAAGATATTATAAATCACGTGTAAAGTTTTTTACACTGATAATTAATCATATTTTTTAAATTATTTTATTTTATTTTTATCTCATTAAATAAGTAACTAATATGACACTATTAAAGATTAATTTATTGTCAGTGTAAAATTTGTTTACATTAATTGCGTATACTCATATTATAAAAACATTAAAAAAAAACTTAAGGCCTGACTTATTGGCTGTTACAAATACAATAGTGCAAAGAGCACTACGAACCGAATTACGAAAGCTGTAGAAACGCAAAAACAGAATTTAAAAAAAAAAAAAAAGCGAAAATACATTAACAAAGATAGACAGTACTTTATATAAGTGCTCAAGATTGTATGAAGAAAGTAGAAAAACATGAAAATGATAAAAAATAAATTATTTTTTTAATGACAAGCAAAAAAGATGACGTAAAAGTGTATATAGGAATCGAAAAAGTAATTTGGTGAAGCCATGGCCATGGCACTTAGAAGTATAATTGGCAGAGCTAGCTTCACATCAACAATGACATACTAAACTAAACTAAACTTGGTGCATATGGCTGCTGGTAAGTCTTGTCTCAAACATATGTGAACATTTAACTATGCATGCACGACTTTACTGATAGAAATAATCATGGGATTCAACGGTAAAAACTGCCTAGCATTTTATCTTATTTTGTTTTGTTCTTTCCTTTTCGAGAGCATTTAATTATAATAAGAATTTTAATTTAATGTTAGAAGCTTCTGTAAAATTCATGGAAATAGAAAGTTGAGTTTCAAAGAAACTAGCTGGCGTGGAAAGCCAATAATATTTATCTTGCATTTGAAGTTCTGCTAATTCAAGTTCTGGCATTGGTTGAAACAGTGAAAGATATGAGAATAATGTAGTTTATAGTACTTTATGATCAGTGCGAGTTTCTTGCATCAGGTCACAAATTATTAATGCATCATAAATTAGTCACCAATCGCTAGTTAATTAATTAATGATCAATTATCATACAGTATCTATTAGGAATATATACTGTATATATATCATATTATTAATCTAATGCCTCCAACTTTGATGCATATATATGCAAGAAATCTTTTTGATACTCACATGACACATTTTTTTATTTATTCGTGGAAATCGAATTCAATAACAAAAAAAATCATAATATAAAACAAAGATAATAAAATATTTTAAATAGAATTAACTTTTGTATATTGTCAGGTATAAATTTACGCTACCATTTAATTAAAAATCACTATTAAAATAACTTGAAATAATTATTATAAAATTGGATAAATTAACCTACTGCATATGCAGGGTTTGTGATTGGATAAAACATATATTGTTTACTCTTTTAAATATTATGTCTTGCATATCAATGTTGGTTTGAGTCGCAAAAAAAATGAAGTTTCCAAAACTGGATCCCAAAATATTAGAGATTTGTAAATAAAACCATAACACTGAGAAAAACCTTATTATTTGGATTCGAACGAAACATTTAATTTTTAAGTCATACCAATAAAGATTTAA